GTGCAGGAAGAGCTAATAGTTTCCGCGATCGCCGCTAGGTGCCGTTGGAGGAAATATCTCACGAATATCGGCGTTAGTATTAATTAATTTATTTATTCTTTAAATATTATGAACTTTAACGAACCATAAGTCAACTGCATAGTAAAAAATACACTATAAATTAAAAATAACCTACACTTATATGGTTTGGAACTACGAAAGATTGTAAAGATACCATTGTTTTCGCTAGGCACTCGCAGTACTATTTGAGTCTCTAAAACACGACTACCCCAAAACTCCACTAGCAGTTTTGTCAATCAGTACGGTATGAACTTACCACTGATACATGATGACCGTACCACCTCATGATCTTCATGATTAGAGGTTCGATCTCGCTCTTGCAACGGGTGTTGATCGTTTGGCTGAGTTGTCAGTGGTGTAGTAAACTGATTGACCGATGACCACACACGTCAGTTTTCAAATTTCATCATAGAGCCGTTTCTTGTTCTCTATTAAATCGTCCGCCAAATCAATCTTTTGGGTGACTTCAAAATTCAAATGCGAACAGAAATAAACTGTAGCAATCTGACACATACATTCTCCCGCTAGCTTGTCAACAACTTTTATCATGAGTAACTGATAATTAATAGGTAAAATCACAAAAGTTGCAATCACTTTTGAACAATAATTTTTACAGGAACGGTGGGGTTTCACTATTTTGTTTAGAGTATTAAGGACTATAACAGACAACGTTCAACCACATTTGGTTTTTTTTTCGAAAAAAATGTTTTTCATGGGTTAAAATGGGAAAATAACATTAGTTACAATAACTTTTGAACACACTAAATTTTTATCAAAATCGTTTGGGCCATTTTCGAGAAAATCAGATTTTTCCATTATTTAATGGGGAACTAACCATTAAAATTAAAAAAAAAAAAATTAAAACCAGTGTACATAAGTCAATGGTATACTAGGTGGACAACGCAGTGTTGTCTGCTTGCAATATTGAGCGGAGCAAGCATATTTTATCTAATGCTCTACCGGTACCAAGGCTACATCTGGTTCATATAAATTGGGATATCTACTTGCGGTATCCAAAGTAAATGGTACTACACATATTAAGTTACCGTACGTATGTTTCGCCATTTACTTTATTTAATTTCACAAGATGACACGCCATAACGACACAACAGTGGAGAACAAATATCTTGAAACAATCGAGGAATACCGACAAATTGCTGATGCTTACAAGACATAAAGAGTTAAATGAGTTGGCAAAGAGTTAAATGAATCAGTCTACAACTGTGTAAGGATTGAGAAACTGACATAACTAAATGTTCTAGACGCAGACGCTGTGTTATCCGTGTAGCGCAACCGCCATTGTCTGAGTTTAAAATATACCATACACGGATAATGGAGCAATAACGTAATGCACTCAGTGATCGAGTATTTTTGTCAAACGCGTCACAGGAAATGTTGAAATTGTGTAATTTAAAGGTTTACAAGTATTGCACATTACATACATCTAAATATTGCATTAAAATATTACACCTATTTTATCTATTGTTGTGGAAACATTAAGGATTACAATTGATTTATGCCATGTAGATTTGGCTTCATATGGATCATTTGGAGACTTCCTATGTGATATAAAAGTTTGAAGCCAAGAAATAGATTAAGTTCAGGACCATCTCACCAGAGTTTTTACTAGTGTATTGGGTTGAATATTAATTAAAACCAATGCAGTTTCATAGCAAACAGCTGATGGATTTAACACTTAATATATTGTCGTTAGTTGGTGACCATCTCAACAGATTGCACCACGTTTTTTGGATTCAAATTTGTACATTACAATTGAATATTAATTAAAACCAATGCAGTTTCATAGCAAACAGCTGATTGATTTATCACTTAATATATTGTCATTAGTTGGTGACCATCTCAACAGATTGCACCACGTTTTTTTGGCTTAAAAGTTTTACATTACATGGGAAGTCTATGGTTGGAGTCAATTTTAGGGCACCACAGGGTGTTTCAAAAGATATGATGCAATACGCACTAAACAGCTGTATTTTCTGTTTGCATTTATTGACAGTTTTTAATGCCAATAGTGGAAAGAACGAATAGTTTGATTTGACACCGTTATTTGTTGTCTTGACTACACGAAGAACCTCTCACGTGCGCGCTGCAACTCGCGTTGGCTAAAGTACTGGCGCTTCATGTAACTTATACAGTTATTTTACTTTGATTGCTTTTGTAAACAATCAGAATTTGTAAGAACGCATGTATACGAGGCCTAAAACAAAAATCAAAACAGGCTTCAGACTTTACAATGGATCATCTTCAAATGGTCCAAAGTCGTTTGGTCCACAGTTTATATTGCCGTTCGCTTGGTCCAAAATCGTTTGGTCCAACAGTTAAAAACTCGTTCGTTTGGTCCAACAGTTAAAAACACGTTCGTTTGGTCCAAAATCGTTTGGTCCAAAAGTACAGGCCAAACTAGAAGTGAAATGTTGCATTGTAGAGTAAACTTATGAAATAAACTGTACGTTTATATTGCCGTTCATTTGGTCCAAAATCGTTTGGTCCAACAGTTGTAAAACAGTTCGTTTGGTCCAAAATCGTTTGGTCCAACACATTAATACGAGTTCGTTTGGTCCAAAGTATAAACTATTGCGTCCCTCACATTGAAGGCATTCAAATATCCGCCGTCGTATACAATAATAATATTAATACAATTTTTGCTTTAAACATGTTGACTTTCTATGTTTTTAACTTTAAATACGCCATGTTTTGTTGTATTCAAACCACTAAAGCGTACATAAACAAACTTAAAGCTCAATAGTGTATCATACGGTTGGAAATCTTATAAATTAACAGTTTTTATCACATTTGGTGACCTTCTAATATACTGAGTGTTCAGTGGACCAACGTGTTTTAAATGTTTTTCATACACCTTAATTTGTATTGTTGTACCGGTACCTATTTATAATGGAGTGTTTACTATTGATCATGGTTGTCTATAATTCTTAATCAAAAGGTTAAAATAGAACATGAAAATTACATTAAATTAGCCTACTCATATTTTCTGGACGTCCACAATTTCCTGGTAAAAATTTTGTCTTACAGAATTATATATAAGGATCTTATTTTCTTATTTTAAAATTGATGTTATTCTGTATAATATGTCATGTTTAGCAATATAACGTTCCATTACGAACAGTTATATAATCTTAATATTACAGTAACTCTTTCAATCATTTCTTATTGCATTATGTTATATCTATTGTACTGGTTGGTGTCTGCCTTTTTGACTACTTTTGCCGATATTTTGTCTTATTATTCAAGACTGACAGATCATCACGAGATTATTGTTATACATGTGTATTTAATCATTGGACAATTTCCCATTATGTAGGCCTAATACGATACAGAATAATAAAAGTGCAGAAGGCTTTTACAGTCTATGAAAATGAATGTTAAATAGGCTACTTTTATTTATCATAGACAGGTACAACAATTACAAACTCTTTTCTTTTCAATAATTTATTCACGGTTCTCATGGGGAGTAAACATAATATTTTGGGAAGTTTTACAAATAGGATATATCTTCGATGAGAAATTAACTTGATATTTTTGTATTATTAACTACATAATTGTTACAAATACCATGACAAACACACAACAAACACAGATTGAATTTTAATATATAGATAAATTAAATAAACCATCTGTTTGACATTAAAAGCAAACTCAAAGCAAAGTCAATGTTTATCCACAAATCTAGGGAATTAAAACGCGTTGTTTTAAGATTGACTGGGGATAAAAAGTAAACATTACACAAACACATTATATATAAATAAATATATGTATATGTACGTGTATAAAAATGCAAACATATAAATTATTTAGAAACGTAACACAAAACAACAAATAGGCCTCGGAAGGCAGGCGGTTGGGTTGACGACGTGACGGCGATTATTTGAACGCCTTCTATGTGAGGGACGCAATAGTTCATACTTTTGGACCAAACGAACTCGTATTAGAATTTTGGATAAAACGACCCGATCGAATGGTCCACAGTGAAACGTACAGTCTATTTCATAAGTTTACTCCACAATGCACAATTGTAATTCTGGTTTTGCCTGTACTTTTGGACCAAACGATTTTGGACCAAACGAACTGTTTTACAACTGTTGGACCAAACGATTTTGGACCAAACGAACTGTTTTACAACTTGTGGACCAAACGATTTTGGACCAAACGAACTGTTTTACAACTTGTGGACCAAACGATTTTGGACCAAATGAAATACTCCCTTTACAATATCGTATCCTATCCTAATACGAGCTATGTCTGTTTGTCTGTCTGTATGTATGTTTGTCCGTATGTATGTAATATATCCCTCGAAATCCAGAGGAAGGATTTGAATACATTTTGGAATCAGGGACTTATAGCCCTGAAAAATTAATTGGCGATAGCCACTACCCCAGGATAATGTATATTTCACAACACAACTCGTTTTAAAATGAAAAATGTATTGGCCTTATGGGTTGCCAAGTGACTGTGTTGATTGAACAAAATAACAACGTAAAATGAGACAAAAGACTTGTCACGTGTTTTTAAATAAGACATTCACAGTATAATAGTGTGGTGATATATTGGAATCAGCTGATAATTTGGTTTTATGTTTATTTTGTTATGTAAACAAACAATGTTATGTTTTGTTCTGTGATTAGATGAGTTTTTGATTCATGTTTAACTTTATGTAGCTGATGGATAGAGCTAAGCGGGAAATGAATATTTTAGAAGAAGCTATACCTATAATGAACAAGGTACATAACTATGATAAGAAAATAGATCTTTGGCAAAAGAAACGTACAGCCATTACACAGAAAATTGTAATCAGTTAGGACTAGTACTACAGTGAAGAATTTTGTCCGCTCAAAATTCTAAGTGTTTTTCATGTGGGAAAAGTGTAATATATTGGAATCAGCTGATAATTTGGAAAGAACAACAAAACCCAACTCAAAAGAATTCAGTGAAGGGGAAGAAGTATGGGTGAAAAGGAGGAAGAAGTATGGGTGAAAAGGAGATTAACAGATTAACTTGGATAGCAGGAACAATAGTCAAACGCAATGGCTTATACTATGAAGTCATGTGTGGTGGAGTGATAAAAAGAAAACATTCTGATCAACTGCGAAGAAGAGAAGGATAGACGGTAGACGATGGGGAGGGAAAGTGTAATATATTGGAATCAGCTGATATGGTTTTATGTTTATTTTGTTATGTAAACAAATTTTTGTTCTGTGATTAAATGAGTTTAAGTATGTTAGTTTTTTATTTGATTTATAATAGCATTGGCTATTGGATACAGTACAAAGAGGAAAACATCAGTTGTAATTAATTGTTGAGCAAAGATTACACTGAAGGTTAGTCGATATAGGGGAAAATAGTTCAGATAAAAAACGGATTATTTTACTTATCCAAATTTCCAAAAAATTCTGATTTATGTATCTCAATTACAGTTGTGTAGCTGCACACAACACAATTCTCAGGGAAATTTAATTATTTGTCCTGAAGCTGAATTTATGTTTCAGTGAATGTGTGATATTTACGGGGTTTCAATAACTACTATTGTCAACATCATTCTTAGTAATTCTTCTAGATTTTCTGTCATTTTAACACGATTACTACGCTGTTTTGAAGAGGTTAAAATATCTTTATTGCATTTGCTAAGCCAGCCCTGATTAAAATCACTATGAAAACCATAAACCTAATACATCTGAAAAGAGTATTCTGAACGCTTTACTTAGATAATAGAAGTTTATCTTTCAATTATCATCCTATTTTAAAATCTTAAGCCAGTGTTGATCCGTGTTTATTTCTAATCGCACTATGGTGCACAGACGCCCGTAGAATATGGTAATGCCGCATAATAACGTAATCAGGGGGTCTCAATCCCGGGCCTTCAATCCAATCCCGGGATTTCGGGACTCGCCTCAGCCGATCCCGGGATCCAAAAATTTGGCTAAATAAAACCATAGATAAAACATACTCCCTTATAAAACGTATTCCAAATTCAACCAAAAGATGAGATGTATACTAGCAACATCCAAAGTCAATGGTTTAATCTATGATACTTACTGGACCAATGTGGCGTCGCAAACGTCGCTGCCGCTAGGATCGCTAGCGTCGCCAGCAGCTGCATCCTGGAGCATGTAATGGGTTGAGGACGACCGCGACGCACTATATACACTGCGACATGTTACATTGCTACACTGCTACATTGCTATTGCTACATCATGTGCGTCATGACATCTTGATCTTGATATTGACATTATACCTTAGCAATGCGAGGACAATATTGCCCGAAATGACGACCATCTGACAAACTGTCTCAGCTTCTCAAGATTGCATAAGCCACATTCTAGAAACAGTCTTACATTATACATTTTAACATTAATTTATTGCTTGCACATGATATATCATATATGAGGCTGTTGTAGTAGATCTAGACAGTAATAAATTCAGTAATTCAGTGTTGGTGGCTGCAAGTGATGGTCGCAGTTCGCAGTCAAATTGGCACCAGACAGATTGGCACCATTGGTGTTTTAGCACCCGGCGTCGATATCATAGATAGATCAAAGGGATCAAACATAGGCCTACTCATTGTGATAGACCGCTGACTGATAGTGACCAGTTGTTGATTTCCGAATCCTCGAATTTTTCAGCACAAAAATGCAGGATTTGTTGTAAATATTGCTTAACTCATAATATGAAAAAAAAATGTTATCGGACCTTTTGAGTGAGACAGAAGAATGCTCAGCCATGGTTCTTTTTGTTTAAACTGTGATCTAAATATAATTTCACACATTATATTCAAAGTGACCAAAATAAAATTGGTTTCTGTCTTTTTAGAATCATATGGTTGAAATTCCTTATGTGTTTTTTTTTTCAAAACTATGTTTACAACATCAAACTTGAAATTATTAGTTTGTAAACATAATTTTTGACACAAATACACAACATGCAGTCTAAAATATTAGGGGTTCAACTTAGGTTGTGATATTAGGTACCAAGAAAACGGCCAAAAACAATAAAAAAAAACATGTCTTCAATTAAAAATTACATTTATTTCTCACAACAATAATAGTGATCATGTATAATTCTAAAGCAGAAAAGAAAACATCTCTTCAGACGAAGGTTAGAAACAGTCTAATTGAAAAAGAGCTGAAAGCAATATCAAAGGCAGTGGAGTCGGATGCAAGATATCAACAGTTCAAAGAGTCACAGTTTCGCACCAAATATGAAAAATATTTGACTACTGGGAATTTCGAAGTAGGTGCCTAGCATACTGATTATAATCCAGTGGTGGCAGCTTATTTCAAGCCAAATTTCTAGAATTAGCCAGAAGATGAATAGTTTTATTAATGTGACCATCTTCCAAAATCATGGTGTGTAATCATGTCGTGACCATCAACACCATGTATCATGATCATCTCTTGCGATCACGACATTGTGAATTTTTTATGTAACAAATTTTGCAGATGCATTCTATGATCCATCTTTAGAGCAAGATTAAAGCTTGGCTTATCTTGATTTTCTAACTGGTCCTCACCCTCACCTCAATCAATTTCGCTTATATAAATTTGAGGCTGAGCTAAAAGAAGAGCTGCTCATAGATCTCTAACTATGTAGAGTAAATATGATCTTAACATAGCACAAGCACAGTAGAAATGAGAATATCATTTATTAATTGTACTATACAGTACAGTTTACATTGCTACCGTACTTAAGTCTTGATATTTCTTTTAATCCAATTTTGTCACATTTCAAGTTATTTTTTTTATAAATTCTATTTATGTATTGGTATTTCATGACAATTATTTTGTTACAATTAATAGTTTCCCAAGGATGGAATTGAAAGTTGTTATTAAAGAGCAGCCTAAATTATAAAAATGTGACCTAATACTTTGTTATTGATCACACTGCAGATAGTAAGTAAAATATACCTACTGGCTTACTATTTATTCTGCAGTTAGACTAAAAACTTCATAACAGCAACTGGTTCTAGATTTATAATCATATTTAATTAAGTTAGTTGTGTGCATTCCTTGACTTAAAAGATTAGTTTGAATTACCTGCACTACCAACAGAGTGATCCTTGGTACAATGTAATTTTTAACTTAAGCCTATATTTGTCAATAATAACAATCAATTCTTCATGACATCGTGTTTCAAATTAATAATGTAGTTGATTTGGTTTCAGACTTCACTAAAAAAACTCGATTCATTCAAAATAGCTTCAACTCCATACATCAGCGAGGTATGCTTAGTTGAGTGTAGAGAATACATTTTGTGTATTTTAAAAGTAAATTGTTACTTTGGTGCTCTTAGGTCAGTATATGCTTTATTTTGTAACCCTGAAAAGGATTCACTTGATTAACTAGTGCTTATTTATACACCTACTTACCTAATTTATTGTGTTTGCATGTGTAACGCTATTGGCCTGAGATATAATTGCACCTCTCCCCCTTCCTTGCAGGAGGATTTTCTCCTTCCTTACGCCACGCCCCCCAACAAACCTAAAACCTCTCGCGCCCCTGGATCCCATACTAAAGCCACCCTGTTGCAGCTTTAGGTCTAGTAACTAGTCAGAGCACAGGAATTTGTTGCCATGGAGCTCAGGGTTTAAGTCCAGCAAATCACCAATTGCTTGTACCTGTGATAATGCAGAGCCTATGGTGGTTTGAAAGTTACTTTAAACTGAAGATAAATATTACATCTAAAAATATTACACAATGTAGCTTCTAGCCTTTAGTCCAAGTTATCTCTGTCAACATTCCTGGCAGAAAGCGTTTTAGCTTTAGAGTGCATAGGCCAGTAAATTAAATATCACACAGTAACTTATAGTCTTCTCCATGAGTTGTACCTTCTTGTTTAACCTTATGCTTAAAAAATCTAATCAAAAATGTTAACACATCACACATCTATTCCTTAGTTCACCATAAATAGCTTTATTGTTTGAACTCAAAACTGTGGTAGTGCCTTTTCAAATATTATATTTTGGAATCCACCAAAATATAACCTGATTGTAAATTGATGTGAAATGTAAATTGACTGTAAAAAAATTTTAAATTTAAAATTTCCATATTATTCTTATGGAGAACATTGTAAAATGTTGTAGTTTGCTTGTTTATGGATATATTTTGATCCAACTTGGGAAATTTATTTAATTATACTAAGCTATTATTATTTTACTAAAAACACACTTTAAGTTTCCCTGTATCAGCAAACATAGGTCGTTAAATAGATTTCAGTGAAAATCAATTCAGACAAATGGAACTTCGCTTAGTTGGCAGGTTTGCTCCGGCGGGGGTATTTTTCTTTTACCAGAGGGCTCTTTCCCATTTAGGTAGGTTTGCTACTAAAAATTTCCTTCAAACTTAGACACTTGTGTCTATGTTACATTCGTAATTTCACAAAACAGTTTTATCTTAACCCCATGTATTTTCCCCCAGCAAGTACCTCTTCACAAGTTGCTCTATACACATGGTGAGGTGGATGTTGACAAAGTGGTATGTCTCCACCTGCTGTCCGTACAACACTACAAGACACTGTCTTGTGCTCAGGAGAAGAAGTGGGTATTGTAAAGTCTACAATATTACAGATATTTTGCCATTTTGGTAACCTTAATTAGATAGGAATCTTCAGAAAAGCAGTTGAAGTCTTTAAGCTGCACGTTTTTGTAGAAATTTGTTCTTTAGAGATCAGGATGTTACCCTCCTCAGGGTCAAGAGGTTGTAGATGTAACCAAGGGATGAAACGGGTAATGATAAGACGATCCATCATGTACCTGTAGCTAAATTGTGCAGTGCCAGTAGCAGACTAGGAGCCATTTCAATGATTACCCTTTCATGCCTCTTCTTAGAGGATTGCCCAAGTAAAAGGACTTCAAAAATTACATGCCAGAGGTTTCTTTATAAACGAACATGGAATTCAATTGCACCTTTGAATACGCTTTGTAAAAGGAATACCTTTTTTATTTTGAATTTTATTTTAAAGTAATTTAATGCAAGTATATTCATTGTACAGGGTGTAGAAGTTTCACAACTGCAGTGTTATTTAGTGGCTGGTGGTAGAATCCGTAAGATATGTATATCTTAAGAATTACAGGTATAGGATTGCAGAGCCACTAGGATTAGTTTGATATAATTCAGGAGATTTCTGGTTTTTCAATTATATTTGTATGTACCAGTTGAATATTTTAGAGTTTAATCTGACACATTGTCAGAAGTGGGATGTTTGTAAAATGAATAGATATGCTGTGATAACCCCTTTTTTTTGCAGTCTAAGAATCTTTCCTAAACGATCCAAGCCGAATGTTTTGGAAACATCTTCTTTGCCATTCTACATATTAGAAATCGATCACAAAATTTACTTGGAATCGCGAACCTTTTTCCCACAAGGCCAAGAGGTAGTAATTATCGTTAACAGCAGTTTAGAAAAATTGGTCACATCAATCACTGAAGTTCTAGAAATAGTGAGTCCCCAAAAGCTGAAGAAAATCAAAGAAGTGTTATCAAGTAAAAAATCTATTCAGGAAGTGATGATCAAAATGAAGATTTTGAACTTTTTAGCACAACTGAAAGATAATCCGGTTTTACTGAATGTGGATGGTTATAGGATAGAAATAGCTAATTACACAGAAGAACCTGGCTTAGCAACCAACGTATTGACAGTAAGCCATATCATGGTAAAGGATAAGTCTAGGAAAATTGAGCAAATTCAAAGAGAAATCAGAACAAAAATTAACACCTTTACGGAGAAGAACGTGGAAGTGGAGGAGTCATGGGAAATGCTTCATAGGAAGTATTGCAACTGTGGGAAAAGTGGTTCGTTACCCTCACTGGCTCATGGTAGAACAATATCATTACTGAATGACGAGGGTACAGAGTTTGCTAGAGTCACTGAGTCCGGATGTCGGCTGCCTAAAGGCTCTTCTGTTTTGACCAACTCTCTAACAGCAATCATCAAATCTTCTCCCAGGGAAAGGAGAACAAGTATACCAGACCAAGGCAGTATGGTTCCTCTCAATTCTTTGTCTTCAGCAATAAAAAACCAAGAGGGGCGACTAATTCGTTCAATGTTGTACAAAGTTAAAAATTCACACAGAATTCTTATAGGAAAAAAAGCCGCTGAGTTGAAGTTGCAACATTCAAACTGTGATAAGAAGGGGAAGCAAAAACTACCAATTAACAAAATAATAGAGGGTGTCTTCTCAAGGGATTCCTTGTTGTCTTTTGCGTCTACTGCAGAAAACGAAGAGCTAAAGATAATGTTCCAGCCCTGCTGCAAAGGGGGGTTAGGCATGGGGTCGTACTTGTTAAATACTAAAACATCCAATACGGAGAAAAATAGATATCAGAGACAATCAGCGGTCTGCTCACTCATCGACGATGAAGTGATTCCACAAATGATCAAGCGAGAACAGAGTGTTATGAAGATTGCTCAAATAAAACAAGAAATATTTATGTCTGAGACAAGAAACAAAATGAAAAAGTTTCTTCAAACTGATAATCCAGGAGAAGTTACTTCAATATCGTAGCTATGAATATTAACATTCAATCCCTGGGATCAACTAAAAATATTGAATGTAAATAAAACTATTAAACTAATGCGGAATTTTAAAATGATCCAACCAACTTTTGATAATCATATTCATTATAGCTGTGGACCTATAAGCTGTAGAGGTTAGTGTAGATTACAAACACTATTAGCGTTATTTATCAAATTAATTTAACTAATTGGTCAGTCATAATTTTTATTACAACTCCAAAACTACAAGATGTAAAGGGAAATTTAATGACAAAGTTGTTTTTCTAATAAATTTGACAATCTTTAATTTTGTCAAAAAAATTATTGTTTCAAACATATTAATTGTTGACTTTTACTCCTTCCTCATCCAACTCCAGATGTCTTTCAAACAAATCTGAGGGTTGGTGGTACTATTCTAAGGGAGATCTTTATTGGGCCTAAATGCAATGTGTCATTGGGCAATCAATTAACGATGCTGTCTAACAAAAGGTCGACGTTAGATAACAAGACCAGAGTTTGGACAAGATACTTTACAAATTCCAATGGTGTAAAAACATAAAAAATGAAACAGATTGATAAGTAAAAGGAAATTGTTTTCCACCAAAATTGCTAAGGAGAGACCACATTCTTTACCAAAGTATGAGGTCTCATTCTAACCTATGAACTGATTATTTATCTGACAACTCTGACCTGAACTAATCACGATTTCATCACAGGGTAAGCATCAGTCCGTTCTATAAGTAATGATTTAATTGCATTACATACAACACAGCAACAACACAAAGATAATATAAAAAATAAATGTACAAAACTGAACAGTCTTCACAATAGGTTTAGTACAGTGCACTGTGAATAAACATAGAAATGCACTAGTATCATTAGCACCACATATAATTAATTCGAGTCACTGGTAACAAATACGGCAATCTACACCAAGCGAAATCAAAAGGCGGGACTTGAGATTCTAGACGAGGCTTGTGGAGAGCTCCACATCTGGAATGGGTTCTCTCCAGTAGTTGAACTGGGAGAAGTCTTCTAGTAGTGCACCACCTCCGTGCTTGGCCGGGAACATTTGGTCCACAATGTACGTCATGTTAGAGTACCTGCAAACAACAAACATTATAACCTCAAAATTAAGTGTACTAACCCCTGTCTTCAACTTTATGCCCCTCAAACCCTATTTTCACAGGTAAGCTAGATTATAATATAGTTAGATTATAAAAGGCATAGATCAAAAACGTCTGTTTTGCTGCAGTATGATAAAGAACGTTTTAAATGGTTAAATATTTTAAGTTTTTTCACTGCCTATGATTTTTAACAATGTTCTTTTTGACGTTTTTAATACATATTTTTTATTTAAAAATCAATTTATTTAAAGTTCATACTGACAGAAAATTGTTATCATTGAATGTCATCAAGAATTATTTCCAAAATTTAAGCCACAAGGAAGGGGTAGCAACTAGCTTACCTATAAAAATCACAATACTGGTCTAGAGCCTTTCCGTAAACAAAACTTCGTAATAAAAGCAAGTATATTTATTGTTGTACATTGGGCATATTAATTTATTTGCTATCACTAGATATATTTCATTGATGTCAAGTAAATATTTTAACAAAACCCAAATTAGTCCTCAAATGATGTAACACACTATCTATTCAAGGTGTGTTTGAATACTTAGAACTGATTCCACATTTTATGTAATTTTACAGGGTGCAACAAAAAACAGTTTTTTGCAGCACACTGTTCAGTGACAGGTCGTCTGAGATTGGTGGGGTTAAGCTCGTTGAAAAGCCTACAAGATGTCATTATCTGTGGTCATAGAACAGTGATGAACTGAGCAACGTGCGTTTGCTATAAAGCCGAATTAAAAAAGTAATGATTCAGTCATTGCAGCTCAGCAGCAGTTCCGTGCATTCTTTTAATTAGGGCAACGTGGATTCAGTCAAGTAGTACAATCATATGGTAGGTTACCAACTTTAGAACAATGGCTTCTACGTTCAAAAAGAAGCTGACAAGCCGTCCAAAGCAGATCGGACGCCAGACAACTAACATTTGATAGAGTTTGTGCTGCTGTGGAAAACAGTCCTCTTAGGCCCGCGCAAAAACAATCATCTGTTTTGAACATGACTGACCACTCGGTTAACTAATTTTGAGGTTCGACCTTAATTTAATCCCTACGGATTAATTTGTATTTATCTATTTAATTTGGTTGATTATCCATACGGAACATAATCGCGACGAAACCTCTCCATGTCGAACTAATTTAAAGAGTGCACGAACTGCCACTGAGTTGCAATGACTGAATCAACTTTTTTAAACGATAACAAATGCGGGTTGCTCAGGTGACCACTGCTCTATGACTAAAGATAATGGCATCGTGTAGACTTTCCAACGAACCTAACCCCACCACTATCAGACGACTTGTCGCTGAACAGTGTGCTACAGAAAATAGATCGGTTTTTTTGGCCGCACCTTGTATTTATTTACCAAAATGTTTAAAGTTTAAGGCGAAACATTTGGATACATTTAAAATAGGTTTCATACAAAAAGACCACAAAACAATAACAATAACACTTGTTACAACTATAAATTACTTCCAAAGTATTGAAAATCCCAGAACACAACAGCAAACAAATGAAAAAATGAAACCAAGGATGGAACTTCAACAAAACTGATAAAAACAGACTTTTAGAATATATATTCATCTTAAGTCAGAAATAGAAGATAAAAAACGAGGAATTCGCTATACAATAGCAAACATTAACATTTGTCTGATCCTTTACAAAATGGCCCCATTGATTGACCTTGGCACAAACTACCCAAAACAAAATACAAATTACACAAATATAGTTGAACTTATTTTTATTGATGAATTAGTATAAACAACATTTTTCTATTATAGGGTTTTGCGAGAAATTATTGAAGAGCTCTTGAGAACATATTAAATTCAGTTGATTGAAGAGAAAAAGTCTCAAAAAAAGGAAAAACTTCTATGGTTTTTTAACTAGGATACACTAACAGTATAGAAAAGCTTTATCATGTTTTAATTTAGTATTTTTTTAAGCCCTATGCTTAATTAAATTTGAGTAGGATGAATTAAGTTGACAAGGCAATACATTAACTAGTGTTATAAGCAAGCAATATGTTAACTGCACAAAAGCATGGTGCAATTTAATCAATTATTTCAATTACTACTATATAAAATTGTTTTAATAAACCAATATCTGTACAAACTAAAATCCCAGGAAATTGAATTTCACATTTTAATTCTGTTTATGTTATTGCTAAATTATATTAGACTAAAACCTACAACCAATGTCAACCAAATTAGTAGTAAAAGAGGAGTTACTGTACCTTACGGAATGTAAAAGTTAAATTTCTCTTTTCAACCCCGCTACATATGTCCTTATTAAATCTGTACTTATAAACAATAAACATGTCATTTTATATTTTAGTCCTATTTAACTGGTTTGATAAATATTTATATAAGTAAGTACAACGCGTTATTGGTCGGTATTGATACTCAGATAAACAACCCAAAAGTTAAGACAATTCAAAAACATCAATGAGCTCACTAAATGTAAGAATTTTTCAGAACTTTATATAGCCTACAATGAAAGGGAAATCACTGTCAATGATCATATAAAAACAACTCAAGAGATGAGTCAAAATCATCTGTAAGCAATACACAAGTAGACAATGTTGTTAACCACAAAACACTTTAACACGACACTGTGTACAGAGGAGAGGCGAATGGTATATTAAGAATAAGTTAGGAAGGGAAGCAGCGTACACTGTTAAGTCGGGAAGACTAAAAGCTTCATGCTGAAAGGTGTTTGGAGCCCCACAACTCCATGGCTTACCCAGTTAGAGAGCCAAAATAAACAAAACAAGAAGACCAATAATACTGGTTCACAGCCATCAACTTAAACATCGGACTTTACAAGGTTAGCCGGCAATCAGCGGCGGGAACAAATCGTTCACAATACAACTCTGGCCTGAGTAACTGAAAACACAAAACAGAAAATAATTCTTTTGGAACCAAAAACAAAAAGCAGAATACCAATGAAAATGCACCCGTAAATGTTGGACTTACAAACTGGCACCACCTTAGAAGCAGATAAAAAATTAAATGAACAGACTGCAAAAATGATAGAATAGTCTGACAACTATGAGAGTAGGCCTTACCACCAAAAGACAGGTGGTAGAAATTAGTGTTCAAATGAAAAATGATGTGCCAACTATGTCCTTGCCCAGAGTTTCGTAAAACCCTAACCCAATTTGATTATTTGAAAGAACTTGTGTTACAAAACTGTACAAGATTGCAAATTATACTTACGAGGATTGGAACGTTTGGGTCAGCTCATGCTTCAATTCACCTCGTTGGTTGATTGTAAAAATCCTGACTATTGGAATTCCTACAGCTTGGTAAGCCCAAACATCCTGGAATTAAAAAAGTGTATTACAATCCGACAACCTTAACACTGCCTATCACTATGGCGAGGCCCACCACAAGTTGATAAGTTGTTTTGAAGTCACGTGCAAACTGAGTCTGGTGTGAAAATCTGTATAGTGTATAGTTTAAAAGCTAATGACCAATGTATGAATGAGAGTTGTATATTTTTATAGTTAAGATTTGTTTTGACTTACAACTCAACTTAAATTACATAAGTAACACCAGAGTTGACCTAAGGAAAAGAATCCCAACACTTAGTCAAATACTTGTTCAATTTTAGAATTTTAGTTCAATAGGTAAGTCTGGAAGATCACCATAAAAAATCATTGTAAAAATGTAAGAGCAAAAATATAAATATTTCTAACGTTGAGTATCTGTCATAATTTGTATACTTACATTTATCCTATTGCCATAACCAGCGTAAAATGGCTGGCAATTTTGAGGGAATAGAGCCTGAACGTCTCGTAGGCAGGAGATTTTAAACTCCTCAGGTTTCTTTTCAATGACTTCCCTGAAAAAAATAAAAAATATTTTAAAGCAAATTCATAGAATGTATATTTTTTTAACGGTTACACCGATCATAGATGTTAAGAAGACCAAGCCAAATTCCTTTACAAAAATAGTTTACACTTACACCAATATAAAATATGAATATATGTTTTCAGCCTCAAGGTATAGATTAGTTTGAAAATCTAATCCATTATTCATTTTGCAAACAACATAATAGTTGAATGAAAGATTATTCATACTTAATATGCTCCTCACAACAGAAACGCAAATAATTACTCAAATATAAAATTTAAATGGGTGTGAAGTGATTAGTGAAGTATGTTATTTTTTTGTGCTGCAAACTGCCTGGAACTCTTGAATTAGTAGGACTAGTGCATATGTTCCTTCTTCAGTAAGTACTGAAATAGCTTGGAAAAAATATTTGACGTCCCGTGGCAATGGGTAAGATAAGCACACTGTGCTGGCATACAGGACGATCATATGGTTTTACCGAACTGAGACTGTGTGAGCTTTGCAGAGGAAAATTAAAGAGTGAATCCGTCAGAAATCATTGAAATCTATTAAGGAGTATCTAAATTACCTTATATCTGATATAATTTCCTTCATGCAATAACCATTATATTACAAGAGGATTTTCAACACCACCCAGATATGGAAACTGGTTATCTGGTTAATGATAAAACAGCTGAGTGGTTAGTGTTGATTCGATAATCAGAAAAATCTACAGGTCAATTCGATCCTGGGAAAAGTCAGCAGCTTCAGTTGAAATTCTAAATCCATTGTACAAATTGAAAGATCCAGCTGACCTTGATTGGACAATTATTGTCCAAGCTTAGGAAACACTTGATGTTATTGAGGGACACAACTCTCCATTCCACTCTCACTTTACAATTAAATATTAAAATACACACACAAAACGCATCGCTAAGTAAAAAAAGTGGTTATACAATTTTGTAAATTACAAGGCAAAAATGTGGTTCGGATTCCACTATAAAGTGTTACAGTAGGTATAAATATAAAGCTATAAACAGGAACTTACAGTAGATCCCTTAGTTTCCATTGGCTGTATGGAGTATTAATTAACAGCCGTGTCTAAGGAACATGTTGGCCTTAGTCACTAACAAGACTACAAGATCGCGCCACTCATCCTACCCTCATCTCCATTTCATGGCTTAAAATACTTTCATTTTTATGGTCGCCATTTCAGAATAAAGTATTCAAGTATTAATTAAAGGACATGCAGAAGTGACGTTGATAACTTACGTGTGGAAAGCACTGATAAGGCTGGTGGGATTGAGCAACATTGGTCCCTCAGGCAAGGACAAATCTTCCTGCTTGATAGACTTGAGATACTCCCTAGTCAGCCTAGACTGGCCTGTAACCATACCAGTACACAGCTGTAGTACAAATTACAACAAGAACATTTGACTAATAAGTATATACTAGTGGTCGTCCTGTGGTCGAAACTCGACCAAAAATAATTAATGTACAGACTACTATATTTTCTCCCCACACTGTAAATAAAACATGTGATTGGGATTTCCTCCAATTGTTTTGATTTTCTGTTTACATTTTGTTGTTATTTCGTCACCATCATGGCAACCCAGTTGGTCCATGTTAATTTTTTGAAGTTTTCAAATTCGTTTTTTGTGCTTATTTTTTAGCCTATTTTAATTTATAAAGGGATTCTGCACATCTACAGGCAAATATCTTTCTAACAGTATGCGTAGATTTTCCCTGCGATGCACATGAGCTGAGAAAAAAGGTTTTAAAGAAACATGCTTGCCTATTAATATATAGATAGATAACCATAAGTCATAAACAACATGAGTCAGCTTGTGGTGACGAATTGAGAGTTATGAAATGCTATTTGTTACAATGTTTGTTTGCCAATTCTTGTCTATTCTTTAATGTTGAAAATTTAGAGTTCCCATGAAAATGCAATATGAAAGTTTTCACTAATCAGTGTAGTGAAGTAATAAAAATGGTACCTATAAGAAAAAATATCTTTTCAAAATCATCTGAGTTATTGGTTACTTGATTTGACATACATTAAATACCAGTTTATATAATTCACTTTCCACTGTCCTAGGTAAATGGAGCGCAAGTGGATGAAAGTAGACAAAGAGAAAGATCTTAAGGTAGATACATAAGGTTAAGAAGAACATGTGGTAGACTAAGAAGTAGATTGTAGGTTGTGGGGGAAGAGAAACTGTAGAGAAATAGCAGGGATGTTACACAAGAATACATTGTATAATATTGTTGCTGGGGCTTTTGTAAATGTATTGCATAACTTTTATTCATGAAGCACACAATGATTAAATGGTACATACCAATGGCTCTGGAGGACAGGTAGAGCAGCTTGTAGCCATTGTCCTTGATCTTGGTGAACAGTTTAGCCACTCCACTCTGGGCCCAGTCCTTGCCTACGATGGGCAATATGTGACCGAGCACATCTGACCTACAACACACCAAGCCTACTGATGAATCTACAACCAGACTATTGCAAAAAGATAAAATATACAAATCACCAATACATCCAACAATAGTAGACCACATGAAAATGCTCTTAAAAGATCCAATACAATGTTAAAAACTTTTTTAAATTCAATATATGTATGAAACAGACGTGTTACAATTGCTATCTGACCATTTTTGTGCAACCTACCCTAGTGATATTTTAAAAACTACTCTGTATTATATTTTTAGTAAAAGTTAGAAAAAGTCCAAAACCAGCATTGTTTAAGTGTAATGTAAATATTAGTGTAACTCATAGCTTGTAGTTAATGAGATTTTTTGACAGGATTAATTAGTTTTCTAACTTAAGGTATTACAATAATCAAAACAGGCTTACTTAGTGATAGTGCCGTCAATGTCAGATACGACAATTTTATCATCGTAACGCCACTTGAAGAGGAAGCACTTGCATCTGGTTGTGCCCTGGTACGCGGTGGTCACGCTGAACTCTATCTCGTTGGCTCCGTCACGCAGGTTCAAGCTGGCAATCTGCTCCGACGTCAGCCTCAGAGTCTTCCGATACTTGTCCGAGCTGAGGCTTTTCCTCGACAGAGATATCTTCAACTGTGACTTGGCTGTTTTGGGATCAACGTCTGAATCGGAGTCCGAGGAATTAGATCCTTGGTATTGTTCTTCACCTGGGATACTGAAAAAAGTAAATGAATGGGTTGTAGTACCTAGTTGAAATAACAAAATCAGAGAAACTCTTTGCATAAAAAACAAAAACACAAAGTAAAATATGACAACATACAAAAAAAACTGTGAAAATATTAGGTTAAGTAGGTACCCTACTACAAATTAAAAATACAGAACACAGAAGAAAACACAAACAAAACAAAATAAACACTGGATATTTCGAGGCCACTGGCCCCTTTCTCAACATGGAGAGTCACATTAGATATTAAGAGTCTTTCACTGGTAAGGAAGCAGTGTTGCCAACACACTATGAATTTACAAATGAATATTTACAGGTTATGAGTCATTGATTTTATTTACACTTAGTCTAAGCCTGCTTTTTAGGTGTGGAATGGGAAAGGAAAATGTTAGGCCTATCTGAGATTGAGGTTTGGGGGCTCCCTGGATTTTAAGAACCATTGATAAGAGAGTTCCCATCTCCTTAGTTGTGATGGGTTACAGGTGGGAGGGAAAGATCTTATTATTTTTGGATAGAAATTTGTGTATAGAAACAAAATTTTACTAGTACATTTTTACTAAATTTTATCTAACGACGGAATCTTATCAAACAGGTTTTATAATGACTACGCGTAGTATAAAAAAAATTAATGAATTCTCAAGTCAAATCATTGTGAACTACATTTTGATATAGTATAAAGTAAACATGAAGTGTTTATTTTTTTATGTAGCCTCTTTGCTACTTGGTTAGTTGGCTAATATGGGGCTAATTACATGTTAAAGTCAGGAAAAGATAAAATAAAAGCTTGTAGCCTGTACGCTAATGTAAAGTCGCAATACTGTAGTATATTAGGGCAGTGGATAGGATTCGTACCATAATGCTTTTCAATATGGATGGTTTGATTTTACTTTCAAATTAATCTTGAACATTCTTCATTTTTCACAGCTGAAAACTCTTAGGTTGTGTTTGCTTTACAGAAATTCAGCAATAGGCTAACAGATAAAACTTCAACCGATATTAACTGAAAGAAGTACAAAAGGTACTCACCCTTTCTCTTGCACTTCGGTCTGTGGCTTGACTTCCACATCAGTTTCCTTCTGATCTTTGTCTGACTCTCTGAAAAAAGAAGAACAATTATTAACAGTTCAAGTAATATCTTTAAATTTATGGTTTAGTTATCTTGTGAATTATTTTTAAAAAGAGAAAAGTTTGCAGTTATTTCTAATCTTAAATAAATTGTTGTAATATTTATTTTTATATGCAAAATTACAAACACAAACTTACTTGGCTTCTACAGTTGTTCCATCAGTGACGGAGATGTTCTGCTCATTGGGAGGCAGAGTGGGGTCTGAAACAAACACAAGTACATATTTCATTAGTTGTGGGATTTACAAATCTTAAAAGGTTTTATTGTGGTTGATCTTCACACTATAGGCCTATCTTACAAATAATTTTCGAAGTTCACAGATACTGAAAAACATAAACTTATAAACGAGAGAGAATTACCCTACTAATAGCAATGTTCTTACCATTCTGCTGAGGGTTCTGTGCGCGGACACCCCATGTGAACCATGAGCTGTAACTGCGTCGGCCACGCCTCTGGTCTGTTACTCCACGCGGCGTCAACTCTGTATACAGGCTCGACACCACCTCCTGGACAACAAAAATATGACATGTACTATAAGTGGTAGTAACATGCTTAGAGATGCTTGGCTAACCCAATGATACTTCCACTCTTAAAATTATATTTAGTGTTTCCAAATACTTAGACGTGAAATTAGCATAACTGTTACAATAGCAGTACAATTTATAATGAGCCCAATGTAAGGAATCTTGTTCACTCATTTGTTACAAGGTTACTCAAGACCATTATAGAGTGTGATGTCTGCCAGGGAGCGTATTAAAGTAGAATCGATAACAAATTCCACAGGATAAACTTGTATAAATACCTGAGGTAGAGGTTTCTGGAAGGCAGCCACAGACATGAGGATGGGCCCTGCGACGTGCCAGTTGTACATTTTGCCGTCCACTCGGATCACGAGGTTAGGGTTGTTCACGAGGGTCGGGTTGGCGACAAACTCATCGTAAGTCACAATGTGATGAAGGAATGCCTCTTCTGAAGGAGTTGACGTGGTTGTTAGCCCTCCACACAGCGACATGTCGACCTCGCCAACCATCCTGCAAGTGTATTCAATGTTGAAGTCAATTTAAAATCTCGAAATGCAGCAAATCTTTGTCATTGAAAGGGAATATACAGTGAGCCAATAGAGTGTAGGCATATCATTGTCTAAAACTACAAATACTCTAATTTTCTTAAAATATTATAATTCATGTGGTACAAAAGAAGTTTTAGTTTACAATCAATTGCCTTTTTAATTGGATATGATTAACAATTTGGTTAGAAGACAGTATTTTGACAGCAACACACTTGTCAGTAGCTAACAAACTATAAACAGGTTTCTAGTTTATTTACATTTTAAAATTCGAGACTAATTCCAAAATGTCCTGTTTTTTTACTACTAGAAACCCTGTATAAAAAATAGAAAATACAACAATACTACCCAAATATACCCAGGCGTGGTGGTTTTTGTTCCTGGGGTACTAAGAAAATATAAGAAGGATGATGTCTCCATCACGTGTACCTATACATAGCTAAAGGTCCAACAGAACAAATCACAAGACCAAAAAAACCGTTACCTTACGCTTATTATCTTAAATATGTATAGTTTAATCTCAGCTGTTTGTTTACAAACTTACTTTTTGGGCTCCTCAAAATCGCTATCGAGAGACTTGGGTCCCCCGATGGCCCCCTCCACACTGTGGGGAGAGTGGGGGAGAGAAGGGCCATTGCCACTCTCAGCATCCTCGTCCATCACTGGCTTGGAATCTGCAACATTTACATCCATGTAATAATTTTGATGATTCTGACAATTGTATTAAAATTTTGTAGAAACTTTGAATACAGCAAGTAAACTTCTCATCGCACTGTAAAGTCTGAAGCTTGTTTAGGGCTTTTTTTCTGTTTGGTAACACTTGAAAGTGTCGATGTAAAAGAGTTGCTTCTTTTTATTTTATTTAAATAAATTCCAGTGGACACTTTACCATTTTGCCATAGTATCAGCTTTGAGTAGTAATAGAACTAGATGTTCCATCCCTATGTTAAAGTTGTCACAAGTTTTTAAATCAAAATAGACGTAGGCCGAGTAGAAGTGAGCCACCGACAGACTGTGCTGATTTAATCTAAATTACTAATTACTGTCGAATATGCGGACTGTTTCACCATGATAGGATGATTTATTACTAGCTATAGCATTTTTTGCATCACGTCAAATAATCTCAGTGCCAAAAAATAATGTATAAAATAGTAGTTGACAGATAGATCATGAAGATTTTAGAGCTACCAAAGTAACAGCTTGTGTGAATTAGTATGATTTGTTTCACAAAAAGTTCAGTTCTAAAAATTGGTTTAACAATTGTTTTACCGATGATAATCTTTTATGGCTGATTTCTAGTCCAATCTTTTTGCGTCAATGATGACAGAATAGAAACAGTCTACTGGATAAATAAATGTTTCCGGTCCTCAGAAAACAATGAATTTTACTCTTGATGTTAGGTACTCACCTTGTGTGTTGTGAGTCTGCTTGTAGTTGGTAGGGAAGTACAGGGCAGCCATCTCTGGTTCCAACTCCTCTACATTGAGATCGGACAAGTAGACTCCTTCCTGTGAGTTGTGGCGGATGTGCTTTGTCTTCTTCATGAAGCCTAGCATGTTATGCAGCATGGAGCGCTGGGCTACAAACAAAATACATCGGTCTATAAGTATTTAGCTTTTCACAACCTATTCTTAGGTTGAACAGATTTAAAGTAGTTAAAAATTAAAATGTTCTTCACAATAGATCAATAATTGGGGTGTTTGGTGATCTAAATTTGTGAAGTAAGTCACATAAGCAAGCCCGTGGCTGTGGTGCCTGCAGTGAAAAATAGTGCACACGGCTGTCTTAAAATCAGCACCGTCTCGCCGATTTAACCCAAGATACTACCACTAAGCAACCGCAAACAGTAAAATGAGTTAGAAAATTTAAGAAAAAAGAACCAACAGGTGAAATACCAAAAGCAGAGTAAAATCACTCCACAAATTACTCTAAAACCAAGATTAATCGTCAACATTTAAGGTACCTATTGGTACCTATTGGCGTACCTATTGGTACGCATTATCCAGGGCATTATCTCTATACGTTACTTATGAGAATAAACTATTAAATAAATAAAAAACAAATATAATAAAGAAAGGAATTCACATTTTATTGTATTAGATCCCACACAAAAACATTAACACAACAAAATATTTAAAGTATCTAAAATATGATCTTGATACGATGTACATTTAAATGGTTCAGAGTCAAAATTTTCAATGTTCCAATTTTACCTTCCTCCTTGTTCTCGTCCAGGGTGGATGTAGGCAGTTCGCCCCATCTCCAGGACTGTTGGTGTGTAGTGTCACCCACAGTACATTCGTCCCCCTCAGATATTCCCCGCTTGGTCTCAAACTCTGTGTCACTCTGTACAGGTGTGAACTGTCGATTGTCGTGCGGACTGTGGGACAGAACAACTGTTAAAATTTGCCAACAATAACTACAGTACTGGTATCTTTGTTTGAGGTTGTCGTTGATGTTATTTTGTTAGTTAATGTTATTAGAAAGTCCAACGGGAAAGTGCCATGAAAACAGTACTAAAACTTGTTTTGTAGGGTCTCTACTTCACTAATCTTGTTTTTTTGTTTTTTTAGATACTTTCTCAGTCGAGAGCAGGATTTTAAATCCACATACAAGCGTTGTGAAAACTTGTCATATTTACTAATTGTAATGGAAAACGTTTACAAAAATCCCTCAAATAAAATACTGTTAAATAACCCCTACAATCCAAAGTGTTGCCAAATAACTAATTCTTTAGTACACTTGTGAAGAAATTACATTTTGTATATACTCAGCGAACTTGTAGTACAAAAATCGTATTTAAGACTGTCAAACTCAAATACTTTATTATTGACTGATTTTTTACTTTCTCCCTCTATACATAGTTATATGGAGAAAGTAATGTTTTGGTAAACATTTTTGAGTTTGGAGTGGATATATCCGTTTTGGGTTCCCCTGAGCCCAAAAAAGAAGTGATGTCTGTGTGTGGATGTGTACAGAACTACAGGCTACACCTGTAGTCCGATTTTCATGAAATTTGGTATGTACAGTAGATATTAATCCATGGTATCTCCAGGCGTTTTTTTTTTCATTTTAGCGAATTTCCCATATAGGGAATAAGCTATTACCGTAGTACTCATGGTAAGACCTGGACCCGGGACCGATTTTTTTTTTCGTTTTGAGGTCCCTAGAGGCCAAAAATAGCATCCGTTCAAATTCATATATATATATATATATATATATATATATATATATATATATATATATATATTTATATATATTTATATATATATATATATGTGTCCGTTAGCGCGATAACTCGAGCAAAAATGATCCGATTTTGATGAAATTTGGTACAAACGTGTAAACCTACGTTTATTCGAACGAGTTCGCGAACCAGCATGATCGGACCATGGGAACGGGGGTTTATGGGGGCTCTTATGGGGTAAAAATGGGTTTTTCCCATTTTTGGCCCAAAAAACTTAAATTTTTGCAATTTCTTTCCAAACTATTTTGTAAAGCTTAAAAAAACAAATAATTTAGTATATTGAAGCGTTATAATGCGCCTAATGGTTACGGAGAAAATTCAAAAAAATTGTAAATTTAAAATTTCCATGTTATTCTTATGGAGGATAAGTAAACTGTTGTAGTTTGCTTATTTATTAACATATTTTGCCCAAATTTGGAAAATGTTTTTATTTCTTACTAACTATTAACATTTTACATAAAAAAACACTTTAACCCTCCCTGTTGCAGCAAACCTAAGTATGTGTTAAACTGATTTGATTTAAATAGGGAATAAATGTGATATTTTTAAGGAGACATTTTAGTGTAAATCCAATCAGGCAAATGGAAATTCGCTTAGTCTGCAGGTTTGCTGCGGCGGGGGTATTTTGACATTTAGATTTTTAGAAATTTTGTCATAAAAACCTATACATAAAAATAACATAAATCGTATTTTCTCAAAAATGGGCATAACAATTTTGATAAAATTTTATTATGTGACATCCTTTGAATTCTGAACAAAATGGTACAAATTCCATTTCCATAAAAATAACAGTTCAAAGTTATTGTATGTTATTTTCCCATAAAAACCCCATCAAAATAACAAATAATCGGATTTTAGGAAAAAAAGACGGTTTTGATTACAATAAATATATTGTCAATAATATAATTCTAAACAAAATAGTGCAACCTCCCATGGCTGTAACAATTAAGGTTCTAAAGTTATTGCAACTTTTGTGATTTTCCCTGTAAAATATCATAGTTAGTCCCAGCGCTTACCCATGTTAAAGGTCGTTGACAAGCTAATGGGAGATAGGATGTGTCAGATTGCTGATACAGTTTATTTTTTTAATTTGCTTATCAGTGTATAGAACAAAAAGTTGTTTAACCGAAGACTGTGTTGATTTTGACTATCACTGACAAAAAGAAAATGAACAAGATAGTTAGGGTCAGTTGTTGATACAAAGTTACAACATGGTTTGAAACTGTATTTTCATCTGTATTTTATTTTAGTCTGAAAAGTAATGGCTAAATGTTATAAAAATATAATTGATCTACTTAGGTACATCCAATGGGATTTAGTTGGGTTTAATCCACCATAATTACGTAAAAATAACACTAATTGGCTAGGCCTTAACTGTTTTTTTTACAAATATCGTGCACTGTACAAGTTTTGGCAAACCACCATAAACATTTGGCCGAATTTTCACATGCTATGAACATGCATGTTATCAACATTACTTGTTACGTTCACAAAAACAAAATATTGGGGTAAATTTTTAGAAAAAATCAAATAAAAATCAGTTTGAGTTAACAAACTTCATGCAATAAAATAATATTGAAGATGTCATCAAATACATCAACAGACACTGAGTAGGCCAATGGAAGGAAACAACATACAAACTTGCTTATTTGGTATGTTTGAAATAAATGATATTGTACGGTATACAACTTTGTTTATGAAATGTAACAGTTATTGCCATATCACTGATATCAGTTAAAAGTCATATCTTTTTTTTACTGATCACCAGAAACCCTGATTTAGCTAATTCCAAAAACCATTATTCTTTTTACCATTTTTTTTTTCTTTTTTTAAGAAACATCACAGAGAGCATGTTTTATTAGTATACATAATCTGTACCACACCGACTAAGTTACAAAACTTGTAAGTCTTATTTCCAACAATGAGATGGTTTGGATATGTAATTTTTAATAAATAAAATATTTTATTAATCTTTCAATGACTATTCAAAATTAATATGCACACAAAAGTTAGATCTGTTCAACCACACCAACTCTCTCATGCTATCAAGTAGGTTAGTGCAGGCAGAAGGGCTAGCTAACGAGACACGACAGGTTAGGTTAGGTTAGTTACAAAACAGTGATGATACTGGACGCAGTGATCACATGAAACGAGCCATCACTCGCTGTTGTGTCCCGTACAGCCCTGTCAGTTACATATTATGTAAAATATTCAGCAAAATACTAAGTCAAAACCATATTTTTCAACATGATATAATGGGATTTGAAAAACCTTTGGATATCCGGTTCCTGACTTATTTTACATAATTACTTAATTTTACAATCCTTTTAAGTTGAGACTACAGCTTTAGTTTATAAAATTCTGCTTCAGTACATGTTATAACCAAACAGATTAATCTACGGTCTTAAATTCACGAGAATATTACTATGTCACAATAGGATTTTGTCATGGTATGTCTAATAACGTTTTAAAATATATTCTTTGATTTGCATTTCTCTAGCTTATTATTAGAACTGACTCTGCACGCCATGCATTAATATATACCAAAGACAATTTGGACCTGAATTTAATGTAATTTTTAAACACAACAATAAGTTTAAAGGAAAACGTATCATAAAAAACCTCGAGATAGACCTTAAAATCAAGATAAAAGACCATAGAATCTCTTTAATTAATCGCTGTGTTCATACCCATGAAATGATTTTCAAGATTTTGCTTTTGATATTCTTAACTTTCTCTGTAGGCCTACAGTTTTCAGACTAATAATTGGATAAAATGTATTAATTTACTGCCTTCATCTACATTAAGAGTGGATAATTGTTTGTAGTCATTGGTGAAACCATTTATACAAGTTATCTGAGAGCTTTGTACTCTTAACTAATTGGGGTAGTTTTGGAACAAATACATTTATATGTTAAAAATTACAACCTTTAATAACCGAGAAAAACAATATCTCTGTACTTAGACAATTAACATATTGGCAAGCCCTCTAACTGTGATCATTACAATAGACTAATCAGCAATTAATAGATTTTTAACAGTTTTGTGAATTAAGCAACTTGAATTTTCAAGTGAAACATGACTTGGACTTTGAAGCCAAATGAATTTCACCTATAAAGCACTTAACAGTACACAATCAGATATTTTTTCAGACAACATTACACAACCGAAGCCTTGGATGCAAGTAATGTTTGTCTTGGTTGTTTACTCGTCGTTGCTTCTAGTTTGCCAAGTCATCTTCGAGAGTTATTGTCTTTACTTTGCCAATTCTGTTGCCAAGTTCAATTTTGGGTTCAACACAAAACTCAAAAATATTCCATCTTGTACTAAACCAAACTGGTAAAAATTTTCCACAGATTTAGTGCATTGTGACTGATTTAGAACTGATATAAGGCACTTGATAAAATTTTAACAATTGGATATTATCTCTATTGTACTTCTAACAAGTAAACTTTGAAAAACGGAGATTTTTTTTCAAAGCAGTTTTTTTCTTTTTTTTCATATTATTTTAAGGCAGTACCGCATATTAATGCAAAAGATTTCACTATATCAAGGTGACCTTAGTTCACTAACATGCAACCTTTTGCCCTCAGATTGAAAAGTTCACAAGTGCTGCAAATGTCCGACTTTATTGTATCTAATACATTACAGAGTATTTGATGAAGCTTTATTATTTAAATAACTTCTCTAATTTGTTATAAAACTTAGAAAAAAAAACGACTAAACAAAGAATTAATATGAATAACCAAAAGTAGTTTTGATGGTACTTAACTTTATAAAATGTTAGTCGGATTTGGGAATACTTAAATCGATTGTGTAATTGTTCTTAAAAAATAAATATTATATAGCCAACCTGCAGCCTGGGGTGATTTCTGTGTCGCTAAAGAAGTGAATATCAGTTTTCAAATGTTCTTCAACTCGTGCCAACTCCTCAATGTTGTTGTCTTCTACATCTACGCTGATGATGGATTGACTGTTAGGAGTCGACGTTTTCTGTTAATCAAAATATCACCATAGTGTATTACTGTTTATGAACCTTCAATATTTAACACGAACAAATTATGCCAGTTTTTAAAATAGCTCGCTATCTATATTATGTATACATGTATATATGTATTTTTAAGTTACAGTATCTTGAGATTTTTAGATTTAAGTTCCATGACAATGTATAAACATTAAACATTAAAGCCAACGAAAACGAAATAGGTTATAAAAAAAAATTTTACCATTTTTTTTTTTTAGCATGGATAAAAAAAGCGATGAAAGTTGTATATTAATTTCACATTATCTGGCAATGAAACTGTTTGGTTCAAAGTTCTTCATTTGCCTACAGCCTAATTTTCAATATTTTAACAAATTGTATATCAATTAAAACAAGTTAGACATACCAGATCGACATCTTCCATTTGGAATATCTCACAATCTTCTTTCTTCTCAGCTTCAATCTGCTCCACATTGTTCTTCCTCTGGTGACCATTATTATTGTTATTGTTCTTCTTCTTCAATATCGACCTCTTCCTACGCTTGCGTTTGCTGCCGGGCAGAGACGAAGATATCCGCTCCGTCAGTACTGTTTCTTCTTCCTTCACCTCGATAACTGCACCTTTGTTCGGCACAGACTCGGTTGAAGCCTCTGAAGAACTGTCTTTGTCATGGACAATGGGTTTAAACTCCGCACTGGCTGCACTAAGTTTACGCGTAGACACAGATTCTAACTCTACAGTTTCTGCCTTGAATGTTTTCACCACACTTCCGCCACCGGCCACAACTATCTTTGGTGTCCCAACAATCTCGATACCTCCTTCCTTTCTCAACAGTTCCTCTGCTTCATTCAATTCATCGCTTCTGAAATGAAAAAATATTAAATTTGAAAAAGTCTTCTTAATCTAGGATTTGAAATGTGATAAAGGAAAATTTTGAACATAATTATGGCATTTTACTAGACTACAGTTGTCTATAATTGGTATCATAGTAGGAATAATAGTTCCATACTCATACCATTATCGTTATAATCATCAGATCATTTTTATTTTAAGGATGATTGATAGCACTGTCCCATATTACCCTTTTATCAAATTGGTTGTTAAAGTTTTAGATCAGATTCTACTACAGTACAATCTCGTTAAGTCGGACCAGCTAAGACAGTGGCCGATCCAACGAAAAGAAAATCCGTGTTAGCAGAAGAAAGCTCTGAAAACAATAAGAAATGAAAATATACTTACTATAGTTTACTTTACTATGGAGAAAAAACCCCTTATATCTTTAATCTTTATACATCACAAATCAAATAAAAACAATGAATCACCAAACAGACAAAAAATCCATCATTCAGGCATCAAACGTGCAGTAACCGCAAATTAAATTGATTGCGCAAAAAACAATTACTGATCGATCATACCCTCATTCAAATCTTTAGCACTGCCGAAGTCCAGCATATATTTTATATGAATTAAACTTTTTGTTATTGGAATCTCAAGTAAGATAGCTTAGTTATTTCGCTAATAAAAAAAAACTGTATTTTCTACACTTTTTACACTCACATTTGCCGGTCCCAAAGGTTGTCCACGAGTAGTGGGCTGTCTTTGAGCATGTACCGCTCATGAAAACTGCCCTCTCGTGGAATGGGCGAACAAGCCAAATGTGGCGGAATAGAGTCATCTCCCAACTCATCAGCTGAAACTTCTTCAACAAAGAAAGCCTCACCAGACTCTCCAAGTTTCATATGAATATCAACTGGTTCTCCATTAATTTCTATATCAACCTGTAAAGAAAACCATAATAGTCAATGGTAAATTGCTGCACATATAAAATATAACAGTTATGAATATGTATGAAATGGATTATGTTTGAAAAGTGGTTGATAATTGTTATAATAAATATTGGATTGTCACTAATTATTAGCACAAACTTTTCTGAAGATCTTGTCAAATAATCTTATCTTTGAAATTCAAATAGTTTATTGTCATTCCTCCAACCATTCCTGTCATTCTGTCGAACAACTTAAAAGGAATACAATTTTCAAAGTTTTGTCACAGCTTGGGAGAAGTTACAATGACTACTTCACAGTGATCAGAAAGAAGGAGAGAATGAGCAAGCATTTTCTAGGAAATTTAAATTAAGATACTCGAATCAACAACATGTGAAGAACTCTATCTTTAACCAAAACACTTTAACTGAATGATGGTTAAGTTTCGGCTGATTATTAATTTTGTAAACTACAAAACAAATATGTACATAATAATACATTTTCATTTTTATTTATCAATTTTATTTAAATAAATTAGGTCTACTCATAATCACAATTAATCTTGTCCCTCAGATTAATCCAGGACCGCAAAATATTTAAAAGCTTCAAATTTTCTTCAATTGAAAACAGCTTACCACTTTTTCCCTGCTCCTCAACACCCCAATCTTTCCGAACCGGACGTGGAAGGGGGAGCAGGTGAAGGTTCCGTCCGGTTGTTCGACAACGACTACATCAATAGCTCCAGTCAGAGTTGCTCCATTTATCTCATTGTACACATATCGGAAGTTGCTGATAAACTTACCCAGGTAGTTCATTCTGTGCATAACTGCAGAAAAAAGATAACCAAATTAACATTGAGAAAATTTTTGAAAAGAGCACTGATAACTTATATTTTATTAACTGAGAACAGATGAATATTTTGAAATTGACACTAATATTTGAAACAGCTGGTTATACTAAAATTGGAGAAAGATTGATGTATCACCGTTTTAAACCAGGTTTTATTTGCACAAAATCAAAACATAACCAAAAAAACTTTTGACATAGGTAATGGAGACTATAAGACGTCGACCAGGACGGCCAATAGGAGGAGGCCGACAAACTTTTAACTGGTAAAAGATTAGGATTTTGTTTTTAATTATAAGCCTACCTACTTAAATGTCCTCATTTGTCTGTCCTAAGTGGTACAGTATTATGTTTGTTTCTAAAGATTCTTTATTGCAATTTGCTAAGAGTTTACTGACAAACCCCAGGGGAAGAGCTGAAAAAGGGGGGGGAGAATTTTGGTCACCCAGTGTAAAAATAACACACAATAGTATACTAGGGTGGTCTGCCGTTACACTTTAGGCGCATAAATGAGCGAAGCATTATTTAAAGATTGTCAATGGCTAAAGCAGCTAACAACCTACAATATGTTCCCTATCAACAGATTCACCGTTTCTTTGCACGATATTATTTAAGTTCTAAAGAATGACAAATTTATCTGATAGTATGTGAACAAAATCATTGACTGGTAGTTGGTGTAGCGCTTCATCACTAATGGTTATGTCAAAATAGAATGGGTTATTTGCCTTCAGCCAAATAAGTGCTTGCTGTAGTTTTTCACTTCGAACTTTGAAATCAATATGGCCAAAGACGCCTTGACGTTGAACAATGATTACTTTTAAGTTTTCGGGCAGTGTAGGTAAGACAGATGCTATTTCATTAATATCTTGCTCAACATTAATGATGTTACCTTTGTAGTGAAACTGGCCATCCTGACCATTGCTTGTACTTTGTAAATGCGCATAGCGGGATGTACTCGTGCAATCAAAATTTGTTCTACAATCGTCAGGTCAGTTAATTCTTTTGGGACACTTGACACATCCATATTATTTAACGCCGTGAATTTAGTTGCATTTGAACGACAACGAGAACAAATCGGTGATTGGTTTGAAGCTGTTAGTTGTTGGCGATGACAGTTAGTGCAAGTTTAAAATTTTAGTGCATCCAATTTATGTTGGAATTGATTAGCTAACTGCCTATCATTATTAGCTTCTTCCGCCACTGCTTCATCTGGTTCTACTTGTTCACGACGCCACTCTCTTACAATATTTGCATTATTGGTGCGACGACCAATATTAAGACGTGGCCCTTGAGGCATGTTCAAAACAAATATAGCAAAACGGTTACTTCCATTGATAAACTGTTACTTTCCAACTTTAACCTAGGATGAAAGTAAACATTTAAATGTAAACAAAACAGTTACAAACAATTAACATATGTTTATCTTATTCAAATGAAACAAAATAAACCCATATGTCATAAACCCAATATAATTTTTCTTCCAACTTACATTAAAATAACAAGCGAAATTGTGTGACCCGTAAAATAAAATCCAGAAGGAAATTTGCAAATATTTTTTACCAAAACATTGTGCTCAGTATTCTTTAGCTGTTGGCCAAATTTCATATCAATTGGTCAAGCCATTACATTCTGATGCTCTAACAAAGAAGTTACAAAGTGAGGGAAAGTGAGCTTCGCTCAATAAAGCCAAAAGTACCGATGAACTTTTGAGAAAACTACAAGTCACATATACCATATACTTGAAATGTTCGTCATGACGAGAAACCTTGCGCAAAACTATCCATTATGTCATAAATTGCACGGTTGTAATTCCTTTCTAAAGGTAACTTTTCATATACCTAATGTTAAAAATACCTCAGCTGTACTTATTTGTTTTTCTTTCAATTTATTAAGTTTACCTTATTAAAATCAGGTGTGATTATTTGTTTTTTTTACTGTATTTTGTTTATTTCAGGTCAACTTAACCAATCAATAGTTTTATTAATAGGCTACTTATGATGTCAAACGGGGTGAAGCCCGTGGGTAACAGCTAGTTATAATAAATGTACAATGAAATCATTTTATTACATTCTTTGTAAATTACAGTTCAGTTAACATTACGTTTTAGTAAGAAACTTCTCACTTCGCTCAAGGTAACATAGCCTACCGGATAAAATCAACCTTTTCTGTATGAGTGGTGAATATTTCAAAAAGAATTTTGGACTGGAATACGCTAAATTGATTTTTTGTTGTTTCCAAGCTACCAGTTAAATCTTTCTATTTTAGTTATTATTACTATTGTTATTCATTATTATTGTTATTTATTGCTATTGTTATTTATTGCTATTGCTATTTACTGAAATTAATTAACTAAGACAGTCCCATTGCATGTTTGGCTTGACCTTTAGTATAGGCCTAGTCATCTTGAAAATGAATTGTTTGATAAGAAAAATGTAAATTGGTTCGTTTGAACCGTTAGTAGCAAAAAAAATAAATATATAATTAATAACACTAGGTCTTGTGTTCAAATTTTTTCAGGGAAACCTGGGTCTACAATGTAGGAGATAATGACTTCTACAGCAGAACGTCTTCTAACGTAGGCTACTTTCATGTTCCATTCACAATGAAAATATAAATGTAGGATACGTATGCTAAGCTAGGATCAAGAAGCATTTTAATAGAAATAAACTTAGGGTAAGTACAAAAAAACCATCGTAGGCTTAGGAAACATTTTAGTTAATGCAGGGTCTTTAGTCATTCTTAGCACGAAGACCTGGCTCTGGTCCAACAGAATCTTCCAGATATATCTGGCTCTAGGCCAGTAGGACAACACTTTCTTTGGATTTCACCAGCCTCAGGCCGAATAGGCCTATATAGCTTATTATGATCTGACAATATACTTAGGCCTATTAGCCTAAATATTAACTTAGGCCTTATATTCAGTTGATGACAAAATCATTTAGTAGCCTAGGAAATCACTACTGTAATTCAATAACTACATAACCGGCTAACTTATAATATGTAAATTTGCTCCAACAAGATTACTTTTATCTCATTGAGTTCGGTAGGCCTAATTAGGGCTAATTAGGCATACCCGTTGCATGTTTGTGTATCTAATTGTAAAGGACTGGTATGGACACTCCGGGTAAGGACCGTAGTAATAAATTAAATTTAAACAAAGAATAGGTCATTAAGCTTCATCAGTTTTTATTTTCAGTGGTTATTTTCATAGGCTAAGCTTAACTTAGGCCTAATTTAAGTTTTCGGGAAGGTTACAAATTACAACAGTAGAACCACTCTGGCAAAACTTTGATACTTCCCACTCAGATAGGCCTACTTCACTTTGTATTATCGTGATAATCGATCTTTAGGCAGTACAACCGCGCCTTTTGAATTGAAGCCTATTTTTAAAATACCGTAACGAGTCTGTGATTTAATGTTACAACTTAACTCAGCGGTTATTTCAAAATCATTCAACGTTTGTCGTCATGGTGCGGTTCTCTCTAGGAACACTATCAATAATAGGTGAGTGTTTAATTTGAGAACTAAGGGACCTGTTCTCAAGAATAAAAGTCCGGGGAGGTAAAAGTCTGTAAAGTAAAGTACAGATGAGAACATCGCAAGTGTTCAGGAGTCCGCTCGCCGAAGTCCAAAAAGATTAACAAGAAAACATTCTGTTGCTTCAGGGGTTTCTAAGTTAGGACCAGTTTAAATTGTATCTTACATGACGATTTGAATTTACATCCCTACAAACTGGTTGTTGTACAGAACCCCAATCAAGGTGGTCCTACATTACGTCTTACGTTTTATCAACTCTCGTTGTTGCTTTTGATTCTTTCAGCTCATTGAAGGCGAAAACCTTCTAGGGCGCCTTATAATTAAAATGGGCTTCAATGCAAAAGGCACGGCTGTTGTACTGTCCAACAATCCATGATTACTTAAACGGCATGACATTTACCGTTGTTTAATACCAACAAAGAAAATTCTACAAGTAACAACCAGCTGATTGACATTTATATACAACCAATCCGTTATTTATGGTCGAGCCTTTAGTTTAAGTTAGGTGTAAGTTACCATTAATTTAATAGGCCTTAGAGGAGTTAGGCTAACAGCATACAGTTTAAGTTTCTCTAGGTTACACTTTATTTTATGTCCTACATTATTTACCCACATGCTGCAGTTTGGTTAAGGTTAGGTTTAGTTTAGAACAGTTTCATTTTATAATCAGCTGGTAGTTAATGTATAATGTATAATAACTTAGCAGGCCTAACTTAAATGTAGGACGTAAGCTTAAGTGCAACCTTTCTCTGCTTAATCCCACTTAACTAGGCTAACTTAACTTAATTTGATAATCCACATAAACCCCTGTGGCCTACTTACAATGGACATCGAAAGTGAAACTATTCCTAACTTCTGCTAGATAAGTAAAGTACAGTAATAATGTTTAAGGCACTAGCTTCAGTATGTCTCGTCCTGAACAAAGTCCTTTGTTTTCTTCTGATATGACAGACGCGCACTTTTCCACAGATAAGCCGACAAAGACTTTCTGAACATAGTAAACTACATGTCACTGAGAAATTTTAGTGATTCAGCAGCCAAGGACTTAGTAAACACTGCCAACACTGGTTAATTTGATGAAAGAAAGGAACAAATAATTATAAAACAAACAAAAATTTGACACTTGCACTTGCACTTGTACCTACTCTAGCATCCACTCCACTTTCCTCAATATTCTTGTTCCTTTCCTTCTTCGTCCCCTCTCTCCCCGTTTCCTTGTAACTTGTATTGTAACATTACTGTCACTCCCCCACCTCTCAGCTAACTAAAACTAACAGCTGTTACGATCGGCAAAACAAAGGGGCAACACTGCTAACACAGCCTTGCCTGCCAGATACGTCACATAATATCAGCTGATTGCCACACAGCGGAGGGGGGTGTCAGGCGAGAGGGAACAGCCAATGAGCGCAAAGGATGCCGGTTACGAAAGTGGCGCGATGTTTGATGTTTGTATACTCCATGTACACATCATCGCGCGAGTTCAACGCACTTAGGCATTAACTACTTAAGCTCTGGATGAATAAATATTTGTGTTTTATTCTCTATCCAGAATAAAATTGATTCTATAAACTGCAAACCCTAAAAGAAACAATATTAGGTCAAACCAAAGTACGATTTATCTGTAAAATCTGCGTAGAAATCTAAATTTTCTTATTTATTATTTTTTTTATTTTCACTAAATTATGTGCTAAAGTAGTTAAGTTGTCACATGGAAATCATGTATTCCACCCGAATGGTGAAACCGTCAATAGGCTGTAGGCTACGTATTGCTTCGTTTTTGGACTGAGTGAATTGCGTTTGGATCGAAAGGGAAAGTTCAAAGGGGATAGTTCAAATTACACAAATTGTTATAAATTATTTAATTATAAAATTAAATTTATATTATGCACAACCCAGTAATCATTGTACTGTATTTAAACTATTTGTTTTGTAATATTTAAGTTTATACAGTAGTTTTATAGTTATTAGGTCTATAAGAGATAATTTAATGTTTAGATTTAAAATGTTTCACCAAGATTTCAGTTAGTTTCTGTTAATTGCTTAGACCAAAGGCATCTCGTGCAACTCTTTCAAGGCAATGTGGTGTTCAAACCTATTAAATATTTTCGGGTATATTGGGAACCGAGCCCGTCCATGTCACAAATTAATGTCTAAATTAATCAATTAAACATTCAAATTCATTTAAAATTCATTCATATCCACATATTGTACACATGTCGAATTTTGGGTTTTCACATCTCAGTAGTTTTAATTATTTTATACTTTAATTTCCTACTCTTACTAATGTTGTATCTACTTTGTATTATTTTTTAACTGTCCAGGCTCTCCGTTACTCATCTAAAATGACGCAAACAACGAAAAAATCCCCTAAAATGGAATAAATAATATAATTGAATTGCGCAGCACGACACGAATTATCCAAATTAGCCTTGCTACGTGTGGTACATAAATACAAATTTTGATTTACTAGCCAAGAGGAAAGCGAAATGAACAATTCGATTGGAAGCGGTCCAAGGATGTAAATATAATTGAGCGACTAATTAAAGTGTGGATGCACTCTCCACACTTGACAATGTTTTATTTATGGTTGCATCTATCCATGTCAAGTCCTTGAGTCCTTCATGGAAAACAAGGGAAGACAATCTACTATATCTCTTAACTGTCTTTTAGGAGGATTTCTAAATTGAAATGTTTATGCCTATGGAAGGACAAAAATATTGTACTTTTAAGGTAAAAACAGGGTAATTTATATCATAGTAATTTAATAAATTTACGATGGTACTGATGGCAGTGTAAATTACTAAATAGTTGGTTATTTTTCTCAGTTTGTACAAAAATAACAACACACACAGTGATACTTAGAGGTATGATGAGTGATCATAAAATGATAGGGATCATAGATATGGTAGAGGTTAATTGTATAGTATCAAATCAAATAATCACTTACACCAACATGAAGTCTTTTAACAAATTCACTGAACACTGCACCTCCACCTATCCAACGGTGATTTGTAGCAGTCGGTTCCCGGTTTAAAAATAACTAAACAGTAAAAGTGACTTAGCACTCTGCGCTGACGAACTGCACAGTCGTCCCACAGCGCGGTAACTTCACTCAACTAACTTCTCCTCTACACTGAACACTGAACTGAACTGTTGTTGAACTTGAAGTTCTAAATATCAACTTCCAACATGTGACGACACCGCTGCTCGGCCTCCAACCGCAGCCAATCAGAGCGCGTTATTCTCACACACCTCCTGAACCGGCCAATCAGAGACTAGCTGCGTATATATGACGACGTAGCGAATGTTGTTGTTGTTTTGGTTGTTTACTGTTTGTTCCCGGCCTACTACGCCACAGGGAATGCGAAAACATATCAATTACGAGTCGCGCCACCGCCAACTCCCCCGTGTCCTGTGAATGGACAAGACTGGTGCGTAGTTTGCTGGAGACGAGCCTCCAAACTGGAAATCACATGCGTGTTTACATGTCAAACCGGAATTGAAGAAGGTGCATTGCTACCTTCATGTTGGCTCAATGCCAACGTATTCGAATTCTTTCGTATATCTCCTTATGTACTAAAAAAACGTTTGCAAGACCATTTTACTGGACCAAATTACACGTTGGTACCAAATGAAAGATGTTTTCCTGTAGATGTGCAGAATCCGTTTATAAATTAAAATAGGTTCAAAAATAAGCACGAAAAATGACATGATGGAATGGCCTCTAGATCGTATGAATTAACTATAAAGTGGATTAAATTACCTTGTTACTGTCAAAACGATCCTTTGTAGTCTGTTACAGCTGTTTCATGCTTCGAATGGAGCACATCATCAGGTGAGATCATTGAACTTCTGACCTGATGATGTGCTTCATCACAGCCACTGTATTAGAGGTGGCTGTGGCTTCATTCGAAGCATGAAACAGCTGTAGTCTTACAAACTAACTACAAAGGATCGTTTTGACAGTGACAAGGTAATTAAACCACTATATACGAAAAATGAAATTTAACCAAATTAACATGGGCCTTATGGGTTACCATGTTGGTGACGAAATAACAACAAAATACTAACAATCAAAACAAATGGCAGAAATTCCAATCCCAGGTTTTTTTTCACGGCGTGGGGTGAAAACAGAGAAGCTTGCACAATACATACTTTTGGTCGAGTTTTCGACCACGGGGTGAACTCTTTTGATTCTATTCTTATTTGATACCATGCCTATCTGTGTATAGGATCCTTGGAAGTATACAATAGCAAACCAGCTGAGTTTTTGAGGACTCGCCTTTTTTGCGCCAGCACACGAAAAGTCGCCCGTGGTGTAACACATTTGATTGTGATTATGATCCATACCGGGCCTGTTCAATTATTCGTGTCAAACATAGCATTTCACACATTTCTACGCCTTCTTTCACTCATTTTGGCTAAAATGTACTATAGTATTAGCCAATTCGGAATGCCGATTTTGCATCTCTATCGCCTACATCTGAATTGGAACACATAATAGACTAATAGTTTTGGAAAACGAAAACACAAACTTATGGAAAATGTGTAATTATAATTACTACTTGCTATGCCCGTGCTTCGCTACGGGGTGACTGGGGTGAGAATATAGAAAAGAATAATTCTGTTTTACTTTGAGATACTATAATATACTATAAGAAACTGTTACAACACACTTACCAGGAAACATATAGGCAAAGGCTCAATCGTGCTTATTGATTATTCAAATGAAGATCTCTCAATGTATTACAATACTATCATTTTATATAGTGTATGGCATTTAAAAAATATATGCTAAAGTATAATTCATTGACCACATGGCACCAAGAAACAATTCTCATTGTAAACAAATTAAATTAAATAGCAGAACAGCATTTCTGACAACAGCTGGAGTTTCATAACAATGTTTGTTTCCCATGTTAATCTTATGGAGAAATATGAAACTTTAAAGGGCCCCAGGGCCTTATTCTTTAATTATTTAGCTAAAAAGAAAGTTTCCTGCACAACTTCACGTTACGCTCTTTCCAATGACACCAAAAACATGTCAATCGGTTCAGTAGTTTCGGAGGAGTAATTGTCACAAAAAACTTGCTTGCGTATTAAATAAGTAAAGATAACCTCCATGATAAGGGCTACTTCAGCTTGAATTGCCAAACAAGTTCAATATAAACTCTGTAGATAAAGGAAATAAATGACAGTTTCAACAAACATGCTGTTCTGAGTCAATTGAATCGAAACCTATATATCCAAATGTGGACGAAAATTGTATGCCTAATTACCAATAGACTATTTACATTTTACTTTTTGAATGAAAATTCATTTCGGACATGACAACCATATTATAATCAGTATCTAGGTCATTAGAAACATAATCTCACTATTTCCATTCTACGTCTATTTGAATATTTTTCATTCAGATTTTTCTCGTAACAAAATCCTTACCACTGCCTTTTTCATATATAACAGAATCCAGGACTATTCTAATATATTCGTTCGTCATAATGATGAGAGCCCGCATCATTTTACTCATGGTGTACTTATTTGGTTACGGTACGCCAAAGCCAAATACAATTTAAAATTTAATTTAAACTTGCAAAATTGACGATTTTATTACTATGGCTACTGGCAGTGAGGCATCAAACACAGTTTCTACCCTGTAGTTCTACCAGTGCAAGTATTGTAAAACACTGGTACAGCCGCCAGCGGCCTATGATAAGGTTGTTATTTAATCGTCCTTGACCTTGGACGCCTCTTATCATCATCACACTATCTGATAACAGCGATGACGATGGCGTAAAAAACACCTCAGCCCTTTGTTGTGAAAATCTGTTGAAGCAAACTAAATGAATACCCATTATTCAACCAAAAGCATTCTTAACAATGATTGTTAGGACCTAACAACTACTCCCACACTGGAAGAGTACAAACAGTTTTTCCTCTCTACTATTCTTCGACTAAGTTTGAATGTAGTCTTGTAGTTTGTAGTCCGTTCAAAATATACAAACTTACATCAAGTAAGTCAAAATTGAGAGAGAGAAAAAACATTGAGATATCATTTTAGTTTGACCTTGAAACAACATTTGATCAATTAGGTTGCCGGAAATTGTTAGCGATTAACAAATAGAAATTGCGTTTAAT